GACGAAGACGATTTGGCGACCGTACAGTTCCGAGAAGGGAGCCCATAGCAGAGGTCCGAGGGCGAATCCGAGAACGAAGAGCGATACACCGAGTGTGACGATTTCCTGGCTGACGCTGAACTCAGCCATGATTTGTTGGATGCCTAGCAGATGTCAGATGTTATTCCATATCCTATCGGTTCGCGCAATACATACCTCCAGAGAAAGCCGACGAACAGAACGATACGACGAGAACCGAGTTGGCGACCGCAATGGCCATGATCCACTTCTTCGTCTTGGGCCAGGTCATTGGATTCCTGGGGTCGTTGTCGATCCACTCCACAACGTAGGGATCCTCTTCTGTTCCCTCGCCCTCATAGTCGTAGTTGATGATCTCCTTGGTCACAACACCCTGATCCGTGATCATCTTCCAATGCGAGATGCCTTCTCTTCCAGACTCGACATCCATGTTGCTTCCACTACTGCTGTTCGCCGCAGAGCGGTCGGCGACCTGTTGGTCCTTCTCCATTGTGATAATGCGATCGATTCGATGTGTCGACTTCGTAGATTGATCGATGATATTCGTCGAAGTGATAAAACGGAAGCGACGTAGGGACAAAGCCCAGGTATATTAAAAGGATATCTAAGGGAATAAAACAGACGAAAAGTAACCTCGGAGTAGGAAAGCAGGGAGATCACCGCGGGAGACGCTACATATAAAGAACCACACACACGGCGGGCAGCGCGCACAAGTCATGCGATGCAGCGGTAAGAGAAGCCACTAGCAAATGCGTAACCAGGACAAAACAAACCGGGCGACTGCCCAACCATCTGGATGCGTCCCCATTCCCGACTCGCGCGCACCGCTCCAGAAATCCGCTTGCAACGTGCGATCCATGAGGCGATGACACCATGATCAAAAATCTCAGGTCTGCTCGGCCGAAGCGTTGCGCTAGGCTCGAAGCAGCCACGTCATTCGAAAGCTTGGCCCGCGGAGCCAATCACAGCAGCGTAATGCAGAGCAGGCGCCGAACACGGCAGGGATGGCGGCGCTGGGAAAAGGTGCTGCTATGCATGTTGCAGATCGCGGACAGTGCGTCATAAGGCTCTGACAAGGGTTTTCGATCTCGAAGGAGAATGTACCGAGCTGCCGAGGTTACCCTGTGGGTGTTCCAGGATTTACTTTTAGAAGCTCGAGATTTTCGTGCTGTTTCCGCTGTCTGGAGTTAACGTGCGGATGGTGGGCGGAGAGTCGGCGTCGGCGTCTAAATGCTCCTCCCCTCCAAGATACGGATCTGAAAAGAGGGGCGTACGCGTGTTGGTTTTCATGGATATGGAGATGCTTACTGATGGTTGAAGCTGATTCATCGTGAAGAGTTGCTTAACTCCATCACCACGACCGAGGTGATTCAACAGCGCGGTCTTCACTAAGCATGTATGCATACGAGGCTCATCTCATCTCACACTCGCTACATGACACCAAAACAGTACCTCGCACGATAAGATGCGGCATTGATTCCTCAGCACAATCCGCTCCGCTCCACCCTGGTCGCTGGTTCGGACCAAGATGTGCTGTCCCGATTCCGACCCGGAGTTCGGGGTATAATTGCATCACACCTGGGTCGCATCGTCACGCAGACTGAAGACCCATCTGTTGGATGCCTACCTTCACGTCACAAATACGCATTTCACCATGCCAGACCCGACAATGCAAATCACGATCCCAACGGCCGCATCTTCACCCTATCTTCTGGAAATTGCTCGAACGCCCCCGTGCATTGCGGCTCCAAAATAAGGTTGCAAGGTTCGCTTCGAAACGAACGGGGCTCCCGATAGCTGGTGGGTCGATGTCACGACTCATGCAGGTTCTAGAAGGTGCGTTGAGCCGCGTCGTGAGATTGGACCCATCTCTCAACGTTTTCTGTGTTGTTGTTGCCGAGGTACATGTACAGTACATGTTGTTGCTTTGGATAAGTCGTGTGAGGGTTTGAGTTGCGTTTCTAAACAGAGGCGCTCACTCCATTCATGAAAAAGATCGAATAGCCACCTACATCGCGTCAAGCTTTGTCAACATTCAGTTGGATACCAATGCAGACTACAGCGCATCTACTCAGCGTCTTCTTCCAATGAAATCCTGTAGTCGTTGAAGCCTAAGGCAGCTGTCTAGTATCCGCAATTTCGCCAAGTTCAAGCCACAGAAAAGGTAGACCAACTTTATCCAGTAGAGACATTAATGGACATGCCGAAACGTGCATCAGCATCTGCATTTGTAATATATCAGGCTTTTGCAACGCCACTAGAGGTAGCTGTACACCGCAATAGGGGTGTTTTCCTTGTAGACTGTTGCAGACCTGGTGTTTCGTTCTGTGCTCTCAATGATGGAATTTATGAGCCCCTACGAACGAGCATTTGTCTGCCACGATCCATTAATTTGTGTTTTTCATATGTATTTGCAGTATCATATGCCAGAACCACACATGCAGACTTGTAACACAAGTTTTGATACATGACTTATGTCATTCTTATTCCATACAAACCTTTCCCTTTTTATCATAAATCGTTTGTATCCAATCCAACGCCAACGCCAATGCTAGCTGAACATGCGATGCTTTTCTCCATCAATCGAGGCTGCGTAATCCAACTTAAACCTCGTTGCTAGGGTACGTAACCTTCTCCGTAGGCATAAACTCCTCCTTAATCGCCCTCATGTTGACGAACCTCGCGAGCAAGTTCGCACTGCCGGCCTTGTCATTCGTCCCACTAGCCCTCGACCCACCGAAAGGCTGTTGTCCTACAACCGCACCCGTGCACTTGCAGTTGATGTAGAAGTTACCAGCCGCATCCCTCAGCTTCTCAGACGCGTACTTGATAGTCTCCCTGTCCTTTGCGAACACAGCGCCCGTCAACGCGTACTCAGACGTGTCGTCAATCTGCTTGATGATGCTGGCGAAGGCGTTGGGTGCAGCGTCGTCGTAGACGTAGGCTACGAGGACAGGACCAAAGAGTTCGCGGGATAGGAGGGGGTGGTTGGGGTTCTTGGTACGGTAGATGGTTGGGTGGATGTAGTAGCCCTTGCTGCTGTCGTACTTGCCTCCAACGACGAGCTCGAGCTCGCTGTCGTTCTTGGCTTCGTCGATGACGCCGGACAGCTTCTTGAAGGATGCCTCGTGGATGACTGGGCCGATGAAGTTGGAGAAGTCGGTGGGCTCGCCGATCTTCAGGGCTTCGACCTCACGGACGAGAATCTCTTTGAATTCGGGCCAGGCGGACTCAGGTACGTATAGACGGGAGCAGGCGCTGCACTTTTGGCCTTGGTACTCGAATGCACCGCGGACGGTCTGAATGGCGGCGTTGTGGATGTCGGCATCCTTGTGGACGAGATGGAAGTTCTTTCCTCCTGTCTCGCCAACAATCCTGGGGTAGCTCTGGTACTTGCCCTCAGCCACGCCGTTCGCGATCTTTCCGTATAGTTGACGGAATACCGCCGTGCTACCGGTGTAGTGCAGAGATGCGAATTGCTTGTGGTTCAGGACTTCCTGGGTTACCTCCACAGCATCACCGGGCACCCACTGGATCACGTTTGGTGGAAGACCGGCCTCGATGAGAATCTGGTAAAGAAGCCAGTTCGAGGCGATCGCAGATGGGGATGGCTTCCAGACAACGACGTTGCCCATTAGGGCCGGGGCTGCAGGAAGGTTACCGCCGATGGCTGTGAAGTTGAATGGTGACACGGCATAGACGAAGCCCTCGAGAGGTCGGTACTCAACGCGGCTGTACTAGTTAGCTTCGTTCCCGAGCTATAACCAGATGCTTTACTCACTTCCAGACTCCCGGCGAGTTGTGTGTGGGTTGATGTCCGTATGTGTCTTCCGCGTACTTGACGTTGAACCTCAGGAAGTCGCACAGCTCAGCCGCTGAGTCAATCTCGGCCTGCCACGCGTTCTTGCCCTGTCCCACCATGGTCGCAGCCATGATCTCGTATCGGTACTTTGTGGCGACGAGGTCGGCCGCCTTCAGGAACACGGATGCGCGTTCGGCGAAGGGAAGTGCCTCCCATGCTGGCTTAGCAGCTAGGGCTGCGTCTATGGCCTTTTTGACATCGGCTGCGCTGGCATTGGAGTATTTTGCGATAACGTCGGCGTGGGAGGAGGGGTTGTTCTGGGTGAGGATTGAGGAGTTGTTGATCTGGATGGTGTTAGAGTGACACGAGACTCGTATGTGCGTGTGGAAGGCCTACGTATTCTCCTCCTACGGCAAGAGGTACTTGTACTGGTCCTTGCTTCTTCATACGTGCAACCGCATCTTGAAGCTTCTGGCGATCTACCGAGCCTTTGGCATAATGTTGCTATAATTTTGAGTCAGCACATTAATTCTGAACATAAACATCATCTCTTGTCTTACGTTAGGCTCGTTGTTGATGGTAGGAATCTTGAAGTTTGCGAGCGTCCCCGCATACCGTCTCGATGCGATCTGCGCGCCAGCATAGGCTGCGGGCAGCGCATTCAAAGTCTTGGAAGCAGAGCGCAGAGGCTGGAGACCCTTTGAAGAACCCATTGTGTGTGTGATGATAATTTTGACTGACCAAAAATCTAAAGGAACGCGTCGTTATGTATCTTGAGCTATGGAGCTTGACGTTATGGAGCTCTCGGTTTCCGTCGGCTCTCACCCCAAAGTGTGGGGCGGCGAAACCTACCTATGGGAGCGAACATATCGCCGAACACTCCCATCGGTGTGGGGTTGCAGCTTGGAGAGAACTTTTTCGCTTGTACTATGGTACGATGCGGATCCGATATCGCAGAAACTGATTCGGTCAGTAGCGGTACACGATCCACATACGCTCATCGCAAGGCTTGCATCGGAAGACTCTAAAATGTCTAGGATCGGGAATGTAATATGGTCTGAAGAATATGTATCATTGTTAGGCCCGATGTCTAGTCGGAGCTTTTCCTACGTGCGAGTCAAGTACACTAGCACAATAGCCCTACGAACGCCATTTCGCCATAACGGTCAACACAAGCTGCCTACTCCTCCATAGCCTCTGGTACCGCCGTATCATTTGAATCATCACCCCATAGACCATCAAGCTTGAACTCCGCAGCCCATTCCTTGACGATCTCCTTCTGATCGCCAACGAGTCCGCCCTTCGTAGCTGGTGCAGTCTTGGTGGTATCAGGCTCCGCAGGGGTGTACTTGGGAGGGCTGGTCCATCCTTGAATGCGACCATCTCTCCAGTCGACGATGACGGTTTGTGCCGCGGCGTGCATGTTGGGTACACCGCCCTTGCCCAGACGGCCTCTTTTCCTTGCTACTTGAACCAAGAAGTCGGTCGTCCTGTCGTTGCCCACAGCGTGTAGGGGAGGTAGATCGTAGACTGCCATCAATTTCGAGAAAAGCTCTTCCGAGGATGACAGTCTTTTGATGAGCAGACTGACAGCGGGAACAGGGTCATCAATCTCTTTTGGGGGTACAGCGTTTAGCAAAATCAGGCGCGCCTTTTGTTGTACCTTGCTGTCCTTCGATCCTTCGGTGTTGGGGAAAACGATACCAGGCGAGTCGATGAGTTTCAATTTGTTGTCAATCTTAACTTCACGCAAACTGGTGGTAACTCCCGCCTCAGCACCGGTAGGACATCCAGCAGCCTTGCCGCCTACTCTCGATGTCAAGGCATTGATGACGGACGATTTGCCAACGTTGGGAAATCCAATAATTCCGACGTGGACTGCGCGCTTCAACTGACGGGACTCAGCGAAGGTCTTGAGAGCCTTGAAGAGTGTCTCGGATGTTCCCTTGATTGAGAGGTCCTTGTGCTCGAAGGTTTGCGCGTTAGGCGCAGATTTTGACGCACGTAGAGGAAGAGTAGGGAATGAGCGACGTAGGTGAATCAACCATGCGCGTAGTACCGGCGGTGGGACCAAGTCGATCTTGTTGAGGATGAATATCAAGCGCTTGCTTGAACGGTCGGCTGCCATGACGGCCTGCTCCACCTCTTTCGATCGTGTTCCCATTGGGTCGCGAGCATCGAGCACGTACAGAACAACATCCGCGGCGTCGACAACCTGCTTGTATATCTTGTCGAACTGTTTTCTTGACGCATCTTTGCGGACCCTGACGGTATCATCGTCATCCGACTCGTCGTCATCGCTGTCTTCCATGGCGTCTGGGTCGTCGTTCTTCTCGAATTCTGCGGCGCGCGCTTTGGCAGAAGCTAGGAGAGCTGCCATGGGGTTGAACTTGTTGTCCTGCATGACATTAGTACGGTCGCGCATCGTATGCTAGCCACTTAGACTTACCACCTGCATCGAATCCTCGTCTTCGCTGTCGTCGGCAAGTAGTTCATCGCCTTCAGCATCGAATTGCTCAAACTCTTCGTCATCCTCCATGACATCCTCGGCGGTTGCGCCCTTCTGTTGTTGCTCCTTCGCTAGCTGGCGTCGGCGTGCATTGTCCTCTTCCTTCCTCCTGCGCTGCTCCTCCACTTCTGCGAGAATCTTGTCTTTGTAGGGAAACAGGTTGGGAATGCCGGGTTCCTTCTTGGTCTTGGAGCGCCATGTTGGGTCCTATATGCGTCAGAATGCGAGCGCTGTAGTCGCGCATGATGACAGTACCTTCTTGGCAAGCTTCTTCGCCTTCTTCTGCTTCGCCGCTGAAGCCTTCTCGATCTTGTGCCTTAACCGCACGGGTACGCGCTTCGACTTTGGCTCTACAATGATCGTTAGTTCTATAACGGGGCTGTATTCCGTGAGAAGCCTTACTTCCGACCTTCATGTTGACTTGTTGGCGTGGTGTATGTTATCGCAATCGTCTACAGAAAAGTTCTAGGCGATCCAGAAAAAGTTCGGCACGTGAAAAGTTCTGCCGCTTCCAGGTTGTGTCCGCCTAGCTAGCTTTAGCCCCACCCCCGCGGCACTGGCCATACCCAACTCTCACGCTCTCTAACAACACAAATGGAAATAGATCCATCTTTACCCTCTATCCATCTTCTAGAACGTCAAATTGAGACCAGGCGTCCCGGCCGTATGTCCAGCGTCGGGACTAGCATCTTTTAGTTGCCGTCATCATGATTGGCTGCATCATCGGCAGTTGTCGGATCCGATACCGGAACGAGTTAGCGCGATAACGTATTCTCTTTCCCACCAGGTGTACATCTACAATAGTCCGCTCGGGTACTTCACTGTATCATTGCGACATCTTGACCTTGTTGACTGAGAACCAGCTCATCGCATCTCTAACTTCAGACCATGACTGTATCAGAGCCTTCCTTCTCGGCACCTGCCAAAACAATACCCTTCCATGGCTTGGTAAGAAGCACGCTCACTTGCATCACAAACTGATACTAATATCTCATCGCCTGCAGCTCTTTGATATGGAGTGCGTGATACTCATTGAAAGCATCTCACAAGTCAGCTAATATAGGTAGTGGGACTATCATCGATTCCACAGAGGCCATTGTGAAGCATTGGCACAAGTAAGTAACAGCCGAGAATGTTCACGTCTCGAAGCTTACATGTCTGTATCAGGATTGGGAAAGAGATAGGTGTCGATCCTAATGTCATCCTCGCTTCATCACATGGTCGAAGGTCGATCGACGTCCTTCGGATCTATGAGCCAAAGCTCGCAAATGAGGAGTGTAAGTGCCATATCTTCATTTTGACAAAAGCATGCATCTGACAGATAAGATATCTCCCAAGCAGAGGGGTTCATTCCGAAAGAATTCGGACAAGACGCCATTGAGATTCCCGGTTCACGAGCTCTGTTGGACAAGCTCGAAGAGCACCTTGTTCCATGGTCTATCGTTACCTCGGGCACGCGACCTCTTGTGCAAGGCTGGCTCGATGTCATGAAGCTGGCGCACCCCAAGAATCTCGTAACGGCAGAAGATGTGCCCAACGGCAAGCCAGACCCGGCGCCCTACCAGATGGGTGCAAAGAAGCTGGGGCTCCAAGAAAACAAATCTTCCATCATTGTCTTCGAAGATGCGCCTGCAGGCGTCAAGTCTGGAAAGGCAGCAGGGTTCGTCGTAGTGGGACTTTACACCACACATACGCTAGAACAGCTGATAGAAGCTGGCGCAGATTACATTGTCAAGGACATGCGCAGTGTCACGCTGACATCATGGGACAAAGCAACAGGGCAAGGAGACATACAGATCGCAGATGCCTTAGTCTAAGCGAAGAGAATCAACACCGACGGTTACCTTACTCGTCTTTGTGTGGGCGATTCAGTATTTTGCCAGGATCGTGAGCCTGCTTACTCGACGTTTTCAGGTTTACTGCAAGCTCAGTTTACATCGGTGACTGAGCTGCAGTCAGACGGTTGAAGCTTACGATAAGCCGTAGATTGGATGGAAGATGAGGTCGGAGACCGATTGTGCGGCGAAGCAACAATGTTTGGAGGTTGAAATCTACTTCATGCGTGCACAGCCTCGCGACCCTTAAACAGCATGCAGGAGTGTCGCTTGGAGTGCTAGCCTTGTTCGACTCGCCGTATCATCCTCCCTGTACGGGAATCACGGAATGCAGCGCATCGCATGAAATACTCCATTTCGAGCAGTCTGCGCCCCATCGAACTGTTTTCTGGAAAGACGACGGCACCACAAGCTACTGCAGTCGAAGACGTCAGCTGGGCGTGCCGTCTCTGTGGTGCGACACGAAAGCTGGCGTAGCAGACTCGCAAAGAAGACTAAGTTCAGACGGGTTGGCGAGGACGTCTGATAGTCGGCAGGGTGCAGCGCATGATAGGGACGCCCTTGCAGCACGAGGTTTTTTGGTTTGGGCCAGCGGGTCCCCCAGCTGGGGGCGCACTGAGTCTTCCGAGCTAGGCTGGGATTATCCGTCGCCCAAGTCAGTCAACACACGAAGTTTGTAGGACAAGCTGGGGCCAATTTGAGTTTCGCAGGTGGTACGGAAGCCCCTTTGCTGCAAGGTACGCTCAGGAACCGTCGATATGTTGCCAAAACATGTGCGCCGACTTCCGAGCCAGCAGATCAGCGGCGCGATATGCCCCTTGGCCATGCGCCCGGGGGGCATCTCGTCACACAGATGGTCGACTCGGACCGGAAGCGGTTACTGACAAAGAGCTACTCGGCGAGTCGTGAGAGGCACAGGATGTCGGCACGACGGCGAGCGCAATGTTGACGCCATCAGCTCAAAGCAGCGCTCGAGCCCGTTGCCCACGTTGAAGCCATGCCGGCGCCGACGGTGACTAGACATTTGACGTGGAACGTGGTTGAGCAGGCAGGCTGCGCTGGCATTAACATGCACTCTCACACGCTCATGTATATTCTCCGAACGGGGGAAGGCCCAAGCTGCAGCACCATCCATCGCCTTCAAATCAGTGGGACATGTCTCCCGCCCGAGGGCGGATCACAGCCGCCGCCGCAGCTCGCTCCACGGCCGGACCAATTGGCGTGAGGCAGGAGAGTGCCCCTGGGCGCGCTTCACGATTGCGCGCCGGGGTTGGGCGTGCCGGCCAGTGCTGTGAGTCTATGTGTATGCGAGCGTGTGGCCGCCCTCCACGGAGCACGAGGGCGAGCAGGTGCAAGAAACAGAAGATCGAATCATCCGGTGCGTCTTCTCCAGGATTCAGGTGTGCTGAGCGGAGACGACGAGTGTCACGAAACTATTTTTGTGCCGGAGCAGCATAATGCATGCTGGGGGGTTCAGTGGCTTAGCAAGTTAGCACCTCCGACCAACCAAGCGGCACCTGGGCAGCCAACAACCTGATCGCTCCTCCTGCTCTTCTTCTCCGTCGTCGTTCGCTTCGTGCCTTTCCCTACCGCGCCGTCGCGCTGAATACCCTCGTTTTTCTATTGTAGATATAGAGTCTACTGCTGTTGTTTTCGCTCCCCTTCGTAATCGTCGCTCGCTACCATTACTGGCATCTTCCCTCGACACATATCTATCCCAGCGCCGACCCGTCTCGGTGCATCCCGTGCATCCGTGCTCTACGCATTATCGCCCATCACCAGCGCCCCAGATTCCGCCGTCCACAGCTGCACCCACCTGTCACTACCCGAACGCGCCCACGCCGACGACTTTATTGCAGCCCTCGTCGCCCTTGAATCTGCGCCCCTCTGAAGCCGCTCTGCCTGTATTGCCGCTGTGCGCGCCGCCATGGATTCTAGCGGGGCCTCGACGACGGCACCCTCTGCCCCCAAGCAGCCTGGCAGCGATGTCAAACCCCGCCTCACCAAGGACCAGCACGACATCCTCGAGCAGCACTTTCTGGCGCAGCACAAGCCCAGTACCAATGTAAAGAAGGAGTTCGCGACGCGCCTCGGCGTGCCACTGGACAAGATCAACGCAAGTGTCCTGTCATGATGTATGCCGTGCGTCGCTAACACGACTGCAGAACTGGTTCCAGAACCGCAGAGCCAAAGTCAAGCAGGACCGCAAGAAGCTAATGAACCAGTACAACATGACTATGAGCCTTCCGTTCGGACACCAGCACGTGCCCGTCATGTCTAACCACTACGCGCACCCGCAAGAGCAGCAACATCCGCATATGCTCATGCAGCCGGACTACTATCCGAACGCTGACATCAGCCCTGCAACGCTTCCTGTGCAAACGGGCGAAGGTCCATCAGCCCTCGACCTGGGCCCTCAGCTCATACTGCAGCACCCGCACCAGCACCAACACCAACAGCATCAACAGCAGCAGCAACAACAATACGACATGCAAAACGCCCTCCACGCAGTCCCGGAGCCCGACCGTTCCGCCTCGTACCGCTCCAACGACCTCATGCACTCAATCATGGCTGCGACCAACGGTGCCTACATGCACAACAGTGGCATGGGTCTTAATGCGCAAGAGCAAGACTTCTCTTACGACAACAACGGTGTCAACGGGCTGCCCAATGCGTACTCTAGCGACCTAGGCGCCTTTTCGGTTCCCGCGTCCATGCCCAGCGACATCGCACCTTCACACCCAGAATTCGACAACTTCGCCGACTTCCAGATCGACTACTCGGCACTTGCTGCGACCAACACCACCAACTCTACATCTGCAGAAGCTCAGCAAAGTACAGGATCCATCTCGTCGGACGCGTCCCCATACAATGGCACCCAGTCATCTGGCACCACGCAATCGCCAAATGGACCTACACCTCCCTCCATCGCCTCTTTGAACTCGGTCTACACCGGCTGGACAGAGGATCCCTCGCAAATGGCACAGCCCAAGCAGGTCGAGGAACCAGAGGATCAATTCGCACCATACAGTCTTGCTCAGGCATCAGCCTCCGAACAGACGCTTCCATTCTGGCCACAAGATGGCTCAAACCAAATGTACCCGCAGTCGAACTTCTACCAACAGCCAAACTCGTCTGCACACGCCATCCTCACTTCACCGGAACAAGCACGGAAGCTCAGTGCTGCGCCCTCTGATCTCGACATTCCACTGCACTTCCGCGAGGACGCGTTTGCCCGAAGAAACTCTTCAAGCAGCAACCTGGCCAACAACATGGACGCGATCCACATCCGAAACGGTACTCCGGAGGGCTTCCAACAATCAGATCAGCATTCAAGCATCGCTGCGAGGAGACAGAAGCGTCCAGTCAACCTGAACTCCAGCGCAATGAGGAGCGCCTCGTATTCTGCCCCCATGCCATCACCAGGAGGCAACCACGACAAGGTCATCCGCCGGATCCGATCAACTGGAATTGCGAATGCTGGGGGTCGTGTTCAGAAATCACAGCCAGGTTCAGCACAACGCTCACCTATGGCTATGAGCTTCTCCGATGCTGCTGCGTCGCCCAAGTTCGCACGAAC